CAACAGATAAAACAGGAAGCGCTTTCCAGGGACTAGTGATGACGGCGCGCTATGAACGGAGAAGCGCGGGGAGCCATACTTTCTCTCCGTTACACTGAAAATCATTTTTCCTACCAAGGATCTGCTTTAGCCTGTGGTGATGGAGGGACCATAAACATAATTATCTAAGTCTTGTATTTCAGAAAGCAAACAGCTTTTCAGAGTAACTAACTTTTCATATATAACTATAGAAATGAATTAGAACAAATATCGTTTTTCTTTCAAGAGATGTCATTCCTAACAGTAATATTCATCACAAAAACACTGAGAAAGTCATGAAGCTGCTAACCATAAATTAAGGAGAAAAATAGACTCTATGTATTTGTACTCTAAACAAGTCCAGAAAATCAGAACAGAGTCCTGCACCAGAGGCTGTAAACTTGGTTCACATGGTGGCAAAAGCAGATTTTTTTGCAAGGCAAAAAAAATGCTCCCAGTGAAAAATTCAACCTTTTCAAATTGGAAGTTTTATTTTGTTTTTGTTTTTGTTTTTGTTTTTTGGTATCAAGAATCAAACTCAGGACCTTGTGCTTGCCAGGCAGGCGCTGTGCCACTGAGTTACATACCTGGATCTGTTTTGGTTTCTTTAAAAAAAAAAAAATTGTAAGATTCAACTTTATTGTCTCCATTCCCACTTGGCAAGAATCCCTTCACAAGGAGAGCCCCCTTTACAGGCCACATACTCTGTGGACTTTCTCTGTCCCCATTTGACAAACAGTATTATATAAAACATCCCTTCATCCTCAGACTTCACTTGTAATTTATCCAAATAGAATTAGAAATTTATAGTTACATAACAATGCAAGCAATCAAGGGAGGAGTGAAGAGAACATGGCAAGAGAAAGGAGAGGGGAGATTAAGAGAACCCATGAAAAAGCAGGGAATAATGAGCGTGGCATTTAAAGGTAATAACCCTAGAAGCATGTGCAACTATGCTGGGGTAAAGAGGGTCTTTCCATGCTTCAAGGAACCCCTTACGTACATCAAAAAGAAACAGTATAGTGAATGATACTAGCTACTTTAAAGAAATTCTTTAAAGATACTAGTTTTTTTCAAGTTCTATTCTAGTAAACTGTGATTAGAAATTTGATGGAGTTACTTCCTAATTGTTTTTAGTTGCTTTGCCCCTCCATAATAGTGCATCATTTTTTAGTCAACTGGATATTATAAAGAAAACACTCTCTTCTCAGGATGGTATTAAGGTATAAAAGCTTTTGTCTGAATATCAAGGAATGTGATTGGGAGGTCACTCACAGTAATTGTGATGAAAAATAAGCAAATACAGCAAGTCTCAGTATAATAAGGCAAACTAATCATTGAAATAAAATTATTTAGGAGACTATAGTTTTATTTACCTTGAGTGTCTAATTTCTAAAGATCCTGTGTGTAAACCATAAAGCCTTCAGAATGTCCTTCACACACGCAGAAACTGTCATCTCCAATGTTCATCTGAAAGAAACACAGAAAGTATGAATTTGAAGTTACACACACTGTTTCATTTATTTTAACCATAACAGAAAATCTTGAACTTATGACTTATTAATGTGCACATTATAGAACAGTGAGAGTGAACCTTTTAGAGCTTTCAGTGATACAAACAGCCCCCTGTGGCACGTGTGCCATAGATTCACCACCACTGTTACAGAACATACTTTATATAAATAAAAAGCAATGATTTAGAGAGTTCCCCTTTGGCAGAATCAGAAAGTTCTGATGACACAGGTTTTAAATCCATATCATAAAGCATTTTTTATTCTGCTAATATTATCTTTCTATGAAAAATTCTAATAAATAATTTTTAAAACATTGATTCTAATGTTCTATATGAACAAAGCCTCATCCTAGAAAGTACTTCTCTTGCTCAAAATTATCACAATATTATCTTCTTGACTACATATGAGTTATCAGAAGAGCCACACATCACAGAAGCTAAGAAGTTCAATACTACATTATCATAAAAAATGAAATTCTATTCCCTATTTCACTGAAACGTCTGAATCACTATTCTCCTTCAACTCAGGAAAACTTACTAGAAGAGCCTTTTAAAGAGAGAATGCAAAAAACAAAAATCAACAACAAAAAAACAACAAAGTACGGGCTGTGGATTTAGCCCAGCGGCACAGCGCCTGCCTGGCAAGTGCAACGTCGTGAGTTCTATTCCTGGTATCGGAAAAAAATAAAAAACAAACAAACAAACAAAAATAAGAGAGAGAATGCTTTCTGACTCCCTGACAATGCAGCTTGGGAAACAGGATTTGGATGTTGGAGTGCCATAATTTTAGAGTATGGTTTTGAATATTTCAGATTCTCAAGGAAAACGTAAATGATTTTGGATTGGCAATGTCATTGTTCCTTTGGCCGTTAGTGTAGATCCCTGTTTCCTAATTGCACTTGTACATTAAAAACACTTCAGATACTTTAAAAAAATTAAGTTGTTCCTCAGGTATTCTGATTTCATTATTAGGAAGTAGATCAAGAACCTAGGTATTTTTAAGGATGGGTACCTTTTCTTCTAGTTGTGAAACAATCTTATGTCACCTATTTGGCTGTTTCTACGAGTTTATAATAAGACATTAACTTCCAAAAAACAGTCTATCGATGTGTATAAGAAATACCAAAATACATATTTGCTAATTTGCCTACTATACATATAAAATGACCTCAAAGGTTTCATGACACACACAAACATACACACAAACAAACCTCAGCAACCATGTACTATTTTAAATTGTATGGACCCAAGCATGACGTATTTGTAGTTACAGAGGATCTCAAACTATAATGCACTGAATGACCAAATGCTTTAAAATGCAGAACCCCAAGAGCTATGTCAGATTCCGATTCAGAAGAAGTAGGCTTCAGTCACAGATTGCCTAGTTTTCACAGGCATCCTAGGCAACTACAAAGCAGATAATGTGATTCCTGCTAAAGAGGTGCTCTAAGCATTAATGAACACTGGCTATTATTAGACGGTCATTATATCATTTCAAAAAATAATTTCTGAGTTTTTTCTAAAGCCATATTTCTAATCTTAAAAGATAATACCAAAACCTACTGTTTAAGATTAAATTTTGAACATATAATAAATAGAAATTCAGCAATAGTGCACATAAATTAAGATAATGTTTACGGATTATACATTTTGTAAGCTTTGCTGTACTCCTAAGTAAATTGTGTAGGCAGATAAACAATAAAATACTTGGGACAAAAAGAGGAAAATTAGGTTATATTCTATAATAGAAACTTTAATTGAAAGCTCACCTATAACCAATGTGTTAGAATTTAAATTTTTAAAAATTAAGTCAGTGTGGCTGGGAAATGGGCATAAGGAAACACTTTTATAGCAACATTTCTCTGCTTAATACAAAATCAAAATTTTATAAAGAAAAAGTCTTGAATTATTTCCCTTCAGAACAGATACACACTAACAAAATGACTTTAAAAAAACCATTAAATAGGCTGTTAACATTTTAGTTTTGAAAACTCTTATAAGCAGGTCCAGAAATACTTTACAATGAAACTAATGTATTCATAAACACATACCCTTTAAGATTCCTTCTGGAAAAGAAAATTCTAATAAACACAGGCAGTATCTGTGATTTTACTATATATATATATATATATACACTCACATAAAAAACAATGATAGTGACATCAGTAACTACTAAATCTGAAACTACTATTCTTTAGCTCTGACCCTTACCTACTTTGGAGGTGCTACCAATAAAAGTTTTCTTTTTACATAAATGTGCTGCAAATGATCTCAGATTTTCTGGAAGTTCAAAATCAATCTATTGTTTATGATTGATGTTTTTTCCCTACATATTTTAATGAGAATCAATGACTAAAACTCACACACAATTACTATATGTCAAAGTAATTTAAGATATCAGATTATTTTAATGATTAAAAATACAGCTTCTGAATAAGTTTTAATTATCACCAATATGCCATCTAAATTGCTAAAACTACTTGCTTTTCAGTTCAGCAATACTAGCTCCACAAGTATCAATTTCTAAATTCTAAGTAGTATTACGATTTAATCCTCCTAACAATCCTAAGAAGGGTTATCATTTACATATTATGGTTAAGGAAACTGAAGAACAGAGAGATTAAGTAACTTGACTTGTGTTCCAAAGCCAATTACTGCCAGAACTATGTGTCAAATTCAAGCAGTCAACAACGAGGTATGGTCATTCTTGAAGGCCCCACACAGTGAGCTTCCGACAGCTCTGGAAGCCTAAAATATTTTTGTTTCAATTTCTGTTCTATGCTCCCCATCCTCCTGCAATATCTTGCAGGTCTTCCATCTGCAAAGGGAACACCTTTTCTTCCTCACTGAAAAGGTGATGTCTAAATTCCACTTAGTACTATAGATATTTTGGTCTCTGTGCAACTGAAATAATAATTCTGTAATACGAGAGGTTTCTGCTAGAACCTCGGTCTTGCTTCTGAATGCAGTGTTTTATATGCCTACTCACAGCATGACCCAGTAAGTATGGTTTAATACCAAGATATACATCTGTGGTTTTAGCATATTTTCCGTTATCTTACAAAAATTATGCCTTCCTAAAATTCTACTGTACTCTCAATTTTAAAATGTGGTAAAATGTAAAGGAAGAAATCATGCTTTCTTAATTTCCCCAAGTTACTGGGCTTCACAGGTGATTGTTTTCATAGCTAAGTAAGTACTCAACTTTTACAGCCTTGAAAATGCCATCCATTCTCATTTAATAAGTGACTTGAAAAAATTCTAAGTCACAAATTTCATATATGGTTGAATGGAAACAGATCATAGCAGTAAACAATAAAACTAAAATCTCAGTCTTTTTATTTCAACAAAAAATAAAGAATTTAAAATATTTTAACTTCTATTTGCTTTTTAAAAAGTGCCTGAATTTCTTCAACATAACAAGAGCTCTAATAATGCAATTCATGAAGGTTTTCTCCTAAACTTTTGTAACAGAATAATTTTAACTTAAGCATAATTCAAACCGGTTGAGAACATTAGTATGTTTACTTCAAATCACTCTTTCAGGCCTGGGGATTTAATTCAGTGGCACAGTGCCTGCCTGACAGGCGTGAGGTTGTGAGTTTGAATCCTGGTACCAAAAAAAAACCCAGTAATCATCAAGTCACTCTTTCAGTTGACCCTGAATTATTTTTTATGGCAAAAATGAAACTATTATATTTTTGTGGCAAAGTACAGAAGAGTCCCTTGTTAGGTTTGCTCAAGTCATTTTAAAATAAAAGCCATAAAGATAATTAATTCTAAAACTGTCTACCAAATAAGCCTTGATTTTAGTTCTCTTTTAACTTGTCTAGATGATGTGGTTGCAATAAGAAACTATATTTAAAGTACAAAAAAATTAAAGCTCTATGAGAGTTGATAACATCAGGCTGTTCAAAGTAACAGTAAGTTAAATATTTTCATAAGAGCAATAAAAAATATGCAATGTGCTTTTTCTTTTTGCACCAGCATTTTAGAAAATGTTTATCAAATCTGGACAGAGTAGATCTTCAGCTGGAATAAGCAATCTGCTTCTGATCATCCACCTTTATTCTATCTATTATATAGGGAATACTATTTATTTATTTATAAATTTTTTTCTTGTACCAGGAATCGAACTCATGACCTTGCACTTGCCAGGCAGGTGCTGTGCCGCTGAGCTAAATCCCCAGCTCCCTACTGTTTTTTTGTAAAGTCATATGAAACACAACTCTGAGATTTTTCAGAGTGAAAGGGAAATGCTTTGTCAAATACAGTGGCAAGAACATGCATATTAACATTCTAGCAAGCCAGGTATGGTGGCTCATGAATGTAATCCCAACACTATGGGGGGAGAGGCAGGAGGATCACTGCAAGTTTCACATCAGCCTGGGCTGCACAGTGAGTTCAAGGCCACCCCTGCACTACAAAGACCAGTGAATGGGCTTGTAGTTCATTCACTCCTTTTAATTCTATAGAGCCTTTTCCCGACCTCAAAACTAAGGCTCTTGAAAATCATCACGGATTGAGAACTCAAGACTGAGAAAAAGAACGTACTGCTGACACAAAGAAGGACTGGGGTACTGTGGTCATACGAACATTAAGTCTATGGTAATAGGTTTATAATCACTAAAGCCAAAATTTCAGAAAAGGAGAGCTAACTAAGGACAGCATCAGTGACAGTTTATACGTCTTCAGTAGTCACTTCTACTTGTTCTTCCATGTTCACTAGAATCCTTCAAGAACTTCCTCTGGCACCTTAGAAGTGTATAACCAGGATCATGTTATGAATCGTCTTCAAAGCTTCTGTATCTTGTCCCTCTGAGTCCTGATTCAGTGGTCTCTTATGTGTTTTCAGCAGCAAATCCCACCTCACTGGCACAGGTGGAGTACAGTTTGAACTCCTAGATTTTCTTCCCCACAGAAGTAGCCTCTTACTCATAGCTTCCTTTTTCTTTAA